ACAGTTTTGGCTGCAGCCACTAGGGGCATAGGAAAGTCTAAGCAAAGCAAAAGGCACTCTAGGATTAGCCAGACTTGCCTTTCTTCAAGACTGAAGTGAACTTGCCTAACTCATGGCTATTTTGGGGCAGGAACGCACAGGAATGGAGTTCCGGCTGGCTTAAGAATTGGCCGCACCCACTACAGCCAAAACCTCTGTGTGCGTGGGTACAGAGGGAAGGCCTAGAGAGCTACCCCCTTCGGCGACTCCGAGGCGGGCGGGCCGGGGGGCCCCTGGAAGGATCAGGGAGGCATTTAAATGCCTCCCCATGCCTTCCCCAGCCTGTCCAAGGGTCGGCTTGCCCGGGCTCCCTTCAGCCGCAGGGCTCCCGGGCAAGCCAAGGGAAAGCAATTTAAACTGCCTCCCTCCCCTCCCCTTTAATCTGTTTGAGTGGTTATGCATGTGGAACAGGAGTTAGAACACCCAGTTCAGGCCCTGGGTTGTTATCACGATTATTGGGTTGTTGAAAGATCTAAATAGCCCTTTGTAATGTCATTAAAAATTAGATTTATAACAAATGCTATATCCATTCTTTCTCCCTGGTGGGGACCCAAAGCTGCATTGTTTTCCTGTCTTCTGTTTATCCTCACAACAACCTTTTGAGGTAGGTTTGGCTGAGAGTGTGTCACCGAGTAATCTTCCATGGCAGATTCGGGATCTAAGTATTAAAGAAGTATGACAGGTTGTCTAACCTGGTTCAGGGCGTTCCAGTTCCCTTCATTTTGGCACTGCAACTTCCGCCATCATTCTGGGGTTGGTGGCCAGTTTTCAAACATGTATCATTATTTTCTGACTTATGCTTGCCAGAAACAGAGACCCTTTGCTTCCGTTGCAAATAGCATGGTGTGGTTGTGGTTTGTCTCACTTGGGCCAGGATTTCCCCATGCCTTTCAGTTTTGGCCCTGGAACTCCCAAAATGATCCTGCAGCTGGTGGCCAATTTTGAGTCTCCTGGGTTTATTCTCTGATGAGTTATGCCTGCCAGTGTAGCGTAGTCATTAAAAGTGTTGGACTAGGATCTGGGAAACCCGGGTTCAAGTCCCTGCTCTGCCATGGAAGCTTGCTGGGTGACCTTTGGCCAGTCCCATACTCTCAGCCTAACCCCACCTCACAGAGTTATTGTGAGGATAAAATGGAGGAGAGGTGAATGATGTGAATTGCTTTGGGCCTCTGTGTAGGGTTGCCAACCTCCAGGTAGCACCTGGAGATCTCCTGCTATTACAACTGATCTCCAGATGACCAAAAATTATTCCCCCTAAAGAAAATTGGTGCTTTGGAGGGTGGCCTCTTTGGAGGGTGGCCTCTATTATACCCTGCTGAGATTCCTCCCCTCCCCAAATCCCACTCTTCCCAGGTCCATTCCCAAAATCTCCAGGTATTTCCTAACCCAGAGCTGGCAAATCTATCCCCCATTGGGGAGAAAGGTGAGATATAAATAAAGTAAATAAATGAACAAAAACAGATGGATTATTTTATTATTATAGGTTCATGGTAACCGCATGCCAAGTGATTTGTCTTGTTGTGATATTTGGGTTGGATCAGGGCCATGGGGGGGCCCAGATGGAATCTTTGTCCAGGGGCCCATGGTGGCTCTTGGCAGCCCCGGATGTTGTTTTTTAATCCAAAAGACTCACCAAAGCCTAAGTTCGGCTGCGGTCACACGGAGCATTTGCCACGCTGACGATACGGATGGTAGGCGGATTTTCCGGACGCGATCACACCGCAACATCTGGGAAGCGTAGAGCTCCCGTGGCTAACCCGAGGCTTCCCGCCGAAGATGCGGAGTAAAAAACCAGTACCTTCGAGGTACTAGTTTCTGGAAACCGCGGGGCAAGGGCGGGCGTCTGATCACGTTTCCGGGGGACTTACATGGCAACCGCCGCCCGCCGCTGTTTGTCGCACACAAGGGTTTCTTTTTGTCTCCCAAGTCTCCTCAGGTTGCGCAACAGCGCCCAACAGCACATGCGCACAAAGAGCGATTGCTAGTGTGATCGCGCAGCGTGGCTTCTGTGCCGCGCTGCAGGATACTCGTCTGGTCGGCATCTCCCCCCTAACCATGGGACCTCAACCGGGACGTGTGCTCGGGCGGCCGCGTGTTAGTTTCCTCCGGGGCAATTAGCCAAACCTCCCCCCACCCGCAATATCCGGGCCGTGTGACCGGGGCCTTTTGGGGGAAGAGAGTGATGAAAGACTGTTAACACACACACCCCCAACCTGAGTTGGCTTTTTATGTTCAAGGGTAAGCAGGCTGTCACTTGCTATACTTTTATCTATACTTTTAAATAACTGCCTGCTGTATGTCTGTTTAAACTGTTTTTTCCTATCCTGAGGTTTGGGTATGAAATTCACTAAACATTTGAATGAAAAAATAAATGGTGGATACATAAAATGGTAACACTTCTTCATGGGGGGTATGTATGTGGGGAATTATCAGTGGCTGAATGGTAGAAGGTCTGCTTCCAGGCAGAAGGTCCCCAGGTTCAGTTCCTGTCATGTGTTGTACATTCCCAAGAATTATTAAGCCACCTGCAGGAAGAACAGCTCACTACTACGGCCGTTTCGTACACCCTTGTGATTTAGTATAAATGCAGTGCCATATTACCTCCCATGCAGCAGCTGTGTTTGCTGCAGCTATGATGGTTTTTGCTGCTACAAAGTCACACAAGTGTGAAAAGAAGAAAGTGAATATCTGCTGCTCAAAAGCAGTGAATATGTGCTGCTCATGGCCAAAAAATCAGGGGATCTTGGTTCCCCTTTTGGTTGATGATGGAGCAAAGGAATAGAAAATCTCCAACAATTTCAGTTTCTTCATTATCAACCTTAAAGTGGTATAATTCCCCAGTAGTCATTACTTTTGTCTTCTTGGTGTTCAGCTGTAATCCTGCTTTCGCACTTTCTGCTTTAACCTTCAGCAGTAGTCATTTCAAGTTTTCATTATCTTCTGCCAGTAATATTGTGTCATCTGCATACCTCAAATTGTTAATGTTTCTTCTACCAATTTTCACTCCACCTTCATCTAAACCTAATCCAGCTGTCCTTATGATATGTTCTGCTGGGTTACTATGGTATAATTTTTAACATGTTATTATTATTTTAACATGAACTTTTTAAGTTATTATTGTTTGCCCATGTGGGTGGAGAGGTGGGATAGCCAGAGCTTTTAGCAGAGGGTAAATCTCAGGTGTTTCATTAGGTTGGGAGTGAATTGGGGTGTTGTTACTAGAAGTTTTTAGTTATGTATTATAAGCAAACTTGAGCCATGGGGAAGGGCAGGGTATAAATGTTATAGCAAAATAAAACCCTTGAATAAATATGCCACCGTAACATGGGAGAGTGCTCAACCATGTGATCAAGCTGGCTCTTTCAAGCAGCACAGTCCCAGAAAGGCTGAGCCACATGTTGTGTTAAGGCTTTACAGTGCTGTACAAAGCAGAGTTACACTCTTCTAAGCCCATTGATTTCAATGGACAGAAAAGTGTAACTCTGCGTAGGGCTGTGCTTGTATACAATATATTGGCCCCGTTCACATGGAGGATTTGCTGCAGGAGAGCGATGAGTGCATGGTAGATTATCTGGGTGCAATCACACCGCAACATCTGGGAAGTGGAGCGCACCCGTGGCAAACCCGTGGCATACCGCCAAAAATGAGGGATTAAAAACTACATGCTCGGAGGTACTAGCAACTGGTTTGCCACGGGATGCCTCAGGAGTCCCTTGGTGTGATTGCACCAGCCGCGGCTTTTCCCTCCGGACCCTCATTGATGCGCAGGAGCGGAGGGAAGGAACTGTAGCGTGCCGCCAACGCGTGGGATCGCGTTATGGCAGCTCTAATTGCGGCGGTGCAAAAAGCCCCACCTCCTCCCCACATTATCCGGCCCGTGTGACCGGGGCCACTGTGAACAGCACAAAGCTTGCAGAAAGGGATTTTCCCTCCTCCTTTCTCCCACTGAAGTCCCCCCTCCAAATTCTGTACTTAGGGGGTCCAAGAACAACTATCCGAAGGGCTAGCAAAGCAGGGATCTGCCATAAAGGAGAGAATTAGCAAAAATCACCTCCTCCCAATGGAAGGGCATTTCTGTCAGTGAAAAGTAATTTCAGGATGCAATTACCATGGTCATTAAAATACATTCTGCACAGTGCTTCAGTCTCTGCTGTAACTAAGGCCTGATTTAAACATGCTTGTGAGGCAAAAGACCCAGAACACTTTGCACCTGCCCAGCATCTCATATAAATTGGCTACCCTTTTAAATTAGCTACCCAGGCTAACTCCATTCTAACGTGCCAGTAGGACGCCTGCTCAGACTACAAATCTCTAATGTGCCTATGAGCCATAAACAACTAACTGCTTTGTGCAGGCAGTATCCCAGTTCGGCTGAGATGTTGGGCACGTGGCAAGTCACACGGACAAGTTATTTTGCCTCAACATCACATTTTAATCTGGCCCTACAGTTTAGCTGTCAGTGCAGGAGAGTCTTCCAGTTGACACGGAGGCTATCCACACCTTTAGTTTCCACCAGAAATGGGCTATGCTAGTGGAAGAAGGGTAAATTGTATGGAAAGCAGCAACTCATGTGGTGGTGGTGGTGGTGGTGGTAATAAGAACACTTTCTATGGGAATAATGGGTATGGGAGCAGTATCTGATAATGGAAGAGGGTGAATCTGAAGCAAAGAGGGTAAAATTATATTGCTTGTTTAGGTCAGTTATTGAGTTTTACAAAATCAGTGAATGAAGCAGATATCTCTTTTGTACCTTGGAACCACTGTATACTAAGACCATGCTGGGACTGATGGGGAATTTTTTCTACAAGCCCCCCCCCAATTTAAACAGGATTCAGCTATGCTTTGACTCTTTTACCCGGTGCAGTGATAGGGCCATTAGCAGGCACAGAACTATGATTTCCAGAATGCCTTTCCCCTACGCATCAAGTTTTGGTTATTTAGATCCTTCTGCTCTCTCCTAGATGAGTTGACCTACTGCCCCAAAGGTGTCACTTCCAACGTCTTCCACTTCAACGTGTCTTCAGCCGAAAAGAACGGCACCAATCTCTTCCGGGCTGAATTTCGTGTCTTGCGAGTGCCAAACCCCAGTTCCAAACGCACAGAGCAACGCATTGAGCTCTTCCAGGTGAGCAGACCTCCCAGTCTTCAGGCCATACCCTGATCTGAAGCATTGCTTTTCATGTATTTGTGGTGACACGCTGAAAGCTTAATCCTTGACACAAGACCAGCTGGCTGTAAACAGAGCCGGCACATGTGAAATTTTCTAGCAGTTTTCCTTCAGCTACAATGTGCCCAGCTGTTGCATGGATCTGTCCTCAAGTGGTACTTGTGCCAACATTCCTTGTTGCATTTTGCCACAGCTGTGTCTCGCCTGATCCCATGCTGATCTTTTGCATGCTTCCTCTATGTACTCATTTTCTCCTATCAGGATTCATTCATTAAAATATTTGGGCCCCATTTTTTTCTCCGGAGAATCAGACTCAGCTTTACATATCCAGATCCTAAAACAGCATGTCAAAATTAAAATATTACATTGACGCTATGAAACAAAATGGAACCAACCCCAGGAAACCCAGCATAATATACAACAAGCCGCTTGACCAAATTGGGGCGTCAACAGTTAAGCTCTTTCAAAGTCTCAGTAATACAGTTCTGCTTTGCATAACTTCTTGAACAGTTATGGGCTGGAAATCTTCCACCCTTGCTCCAGAAAACTATCTGAAAGTGCCAGACCACCAGAACAAGTCTGAGAGCCTGGGCTGCAGCAGATCTCGCTGCCTAGGAGGAAGGCCCCACCAATAAAGCATCTGGTGCAGTTGCATCTGTGCATTGATATGGTTTACTAAGGCACGTGGAATTATTTTATTTTTAAGGGCGAAGACAGGATTTGATAAAGGCAGGACTTCTTTAGTTGGGATTGTAAAATAACCTGGTGTTGTTGAAGGTCGCAAATGATCTCCTCGAGAAAGAGCTCAGCAGGTGAAATTAGCAATCAGCTTAAAGGTTATTTTAAAAAACAGAACGTAAGGGGCCGGAAAATTGCAAATAAGAGGGATATTTGTCAAAAAAACTAATTGCAGGAAGGCTTGTATCTTTTATCAATGACCCATTAAGTACTATACTTTTTTAATACATGCATCCAAAAAACCCAAAACAGAACAACCAGGAAGTGGGATGCCCATGAGGGACCATCCATGAGATGAGGTGCAGCCTAGACTGATTTCAGTGACAGAAGAGGCATGAATGAGCTGGAGGTGGAGGAGACATATCCCTTTGCTATGACCTGAAAATGTATCCATTATAGAATTTCATGTGTCATGTTTGGATTCCTGTTGTCGACAGAAGGTCCTTTTTGGACGTGCACAGAAAACCAACATCTGAAGAAATCATCTGCTTTTGAAAGCTAGCCTTGTTCTCTGTAGAAGTCTTTAATCAGCATCATCTCATGACAATTTGCCTCTTCCCCAGGAGGAGACAGCGGATCCCTTGTACTTGACAGGGCAGACTGATGAGTGTATTTTCTTGGCCAAGGAAAGCGACATAATTTGGGAAGAATCCATAACTCTTCAAGTTTTAAGTAGACAGTACTGCATGAGGTGGACCCATGGTTTTAGTAGTACTGCATGAGGTGGACCCACACCACACATGACTGAAACTCCAGACGTGTTCTTTAATCACACAAAGCAGCCATGGGAGTGGGACGGGATTTGGATAAGGGCTGTGGTGCTGGGGAGGAAGGGTTAACTGGCCCTCCTTGCACCATTCCCCTGACTGAAATGGCCTGCCCAACTGGCTTGAAACCCTAACAGGGAAAATCCCAGGTGCTCTATTGTGCTCTCTTTTATTTCGCCCCTAGGGCATAAAGCAGCCTTGGGAGAGATTTTTGAATGGCAAAATGGCACAGGAAGGGTCCCCAGCTCTACATCCCCAGTACCTATTGCCTCTCACCCAACAGGGGCAAATAATGTGTCGTGTTCTTTGGCTCTCAGGAGTAACCAGTTTCATATGTTTATAACTGAATCACTCCTTTATATCCAGTAGATCAAATGCTTTCCTTGACTCTCCAGTGTATAGTAGGCACGTATTGATTACCCTTTGGTCTGCTTATTAATAAGAATGGAATGTGTATATAATTTCCAGGCTAGCCTGATCTTGGAAGCTTGGAAGGTTTGGCCTTGTTTAGTATTTGGATTGGAGACCAAGGAAGTCCAGGGTCACAATGCAGAGGCAGGCAGTGGAACACCATCTCTGAATGTCTCTTGCCTTGAAAACCCTGCAGGGTCACCATAAGTCACTTGATGGCACTTTCCACCACCATAATTTCTAGAAGGAAAGGAGTGATAAACTTCATTATAAATAAATGCCATCGTATTTGTCCTAAAAACCTGTGGCCCTTTATGCCGTTCAGTTAATTGCCCCATTCCCATACATTGCCTCTAAAAATAGAATTTTTCTGTGATTCTTTGTCTAGATTCTGATAACTTTGTCTCCTGCGTGCACAAATTGTCAGCCATAGTGCTAATATCTTTAATAATGTACTAAGGAAGCCCCCACTGTCCTCTTCCTAAAGCTGTTCAAGACCTGAATTTAAGGACATGGTTTTAGTAAATCTCAGTGCAACCTTAATTGCTCACAACTGACCAAACACAACAACTAGTGCCCCTAGATCAGGATGGATATCCTCATTTGCATCAAGACAGCCAATACAGTGTATGGTTATGGATCTGAACAAGACCGGGGAGAGCCAGGTTCAAATTTGTACTCTGCCATGAATTTTGTGAGGTGATCCACTCTTTCACAGCCTAGCCTACCTCATATGATGGGAAGCAGGAGGAACGGCAGGATAAAAATGTGATCCAAAACATGAATCATCTCAGTTCAGTGAGGACTGCATGCATCGTAGTTCAAGTAGAGAGATGTGTATCTGTATCTGCGTTGGCTGTGTGTATGGAAGGTTGCTTCGGCCTGCATATCCCTGGTAACATGGCAACACAAACTAGTCTAGGAGGCCACGTTTGCTGGCCTTGCTGAGTTGAACAATGTTTTATGTGTCTTCTCCTGATGCAGATTCTGAAGCCTGATGAGCACATCGCGAAGCAGCGTTACCTTAGTGGCCGGAATGTGATGACCCGAGGCTCCCCCGAGTGGCTGTCCTTTGATGTCACAGAGACCGTGCGGGAATGGCTGCTGCGTAGAGGTAGGCAGAACAGGAGACCGGCACAATGACCCCCTCTGCTAACTTTTTCTGATGGAAACACAGGTGTGTTCATGCAGGCGTGTGTTCGGTCGACTTCTCTTATTCACAACTGAACATGTAACTTGACTCAGTTTTTATTTTTATTATAATATAATTTGTAATATATAAATGCTGTACTAAATACTCAGCAATGAAGTCAATACCTAGTAATGAATTGCTTAATTTAGTTTCTTCAGTCATTTCCAGTTCTGTTCAGTAACAATCATTTCAACAACAATCCATGTTACTCATCTGTTAAAAATTAAAGCTTATTAACAGTACTTCAACTGATTTATTAACATATACTTATTGAATACTAATGAACAGATAGTTAATGTGAGTTGTTTGATAAAATATAATAAAACACTAAATTAATTAGGCAGAAAAAACAATTTTTCTCAACACAAAAATCAATTGTCAAATGACTTTTACTTGGCCACTTCCTTCCTTTTGTTCAATGCCAAGTACACGTTGAAGAACAAACCGGTTTCATAAGCACTTAATATTGATCAGTATCAATAAACAAGCATAAATAAATGACAGATGAGACCTTGAATATTGAGCTCTGTAGGAGCTTCACAGCAATTAATCACTACGGTACTTCAATTCATTTTGCAGTCATTTCAAACAACAGTGCAGTTCAAATAGTTCATTGATCCGGAATTGTACTGTGGCTCAGTGGTGGAGCATCTGCTTTACATGCTGTAGGTTTCCAGTTCAGTCTCCAACAGCTCCAGGTGGTTGTTTTTGTAGAGGAGGAGGGAGTAGGTGATGTGGAAGATCTCCTCCTGAGTGCCGGAGAGCCACTGACCGATCGATATTACTGACCCTGATAGACCGATGGACGGTCTGACTCGGTATAAAGCAGTTCCATTTGTTCACTCTCCAAACAGGAGGCCATTAGCTAGTTCTCATTTTTACTGAGGCACTTCTTCATTTCTCCTTGACACAAAGCAGGCAGGGCAGGGTGCTTTCAAGGAGCTCACCACCACTACACTGGCCAAGGCATGCCCATATTGTTTGTGTGGCTCCTCTCACTGACCCCTGCAGCTACTGCTCCTGTTAACAGAGATCTGCTGTTGTTGCTGGCAAGGTAAAACTGAGCCACTCCAGGGGAAGTTGTGAGGGAGGGAGGGAGGGAGGGAGAGAGAGAGAGAGAGAGAGAGAGAGAGAGAGAGAGAGAGAGAGAGCAGCCTCCCTTCAAGTACTTCACTGCCTGCTGCTGCCCTGATTGCAATCAGGGCAGTTGGCATGAGATTGCCAGCGAGGCAGTCCTGCTGCTGACCGTTGCTGCCACAAGCCCCACTGGCTATGCTGAGCTGGCCCACCACCCTCCTCCCTATCGGCCAATGCTGCAGCCGCTCTCCCATTTCAAATTTTGCATGCACTGTGCACATGAATCCAAGTCTTGGCCTGCCTCTGATCCAGAGTGGTGTTAGGAATCCCCGGGGCAACGGCAGGGATGGGGAAGAAACCCAGAATGGCCCAGAGTTGCTTTTAAGGCTGGGAGTGTCAGCCTTCTATCATGATCTGCCCTACAGTCAGTCGTTGTAGGTCGATGGCAGGCAACTGGGTTGGCCAGAGGGCTAAATCTCACTGACACCAGAGCAGTGGACCAGGATCCTCCTCCATCTACTGTAAGCTTTCCTTTTCTGCATTCTTATGTACAGCGGGGACCAGCAAAATTTTAGGATTAAAGGGCCAGATGTCCTCAAAATTAATCAACCAAGAGCCAGCAAAAGAAAGCACATTTGCATAACTCAAAAGTTACAATTTAATAGTCCGTTTAGTTTCTGCAGCCCAGACGCTGGCTGTGGCAAGCCTTTTGCTAGGAAGTGACACACACCAGGTCTCACAATAAGTAAATAAATCTGTACAGGAGCAGACTCCACAGTTGTATTAATACTCTAGAATAAATGTGCTCACGCTTTGCACTTTGATTATTAGCAATTGTTCTTCTCTGTCCTTTCCCTTTCTCTCAACCACCTCTAAAAAGCCCTGTAGTCCCGCAAAAAATCTTCGCCTGCCATTCCCTTCGCACACTGGCTATTCTATCAAGCCACCCTACCCTCTCCAATATACCTCAATTTAAAGATTTTGTTTTCTTTTAAAAAGAGCCATCCTTGATTTCATACTGAGCCACATTTTGGCTCTAGGTTGCTGATCCCTGATGTGTAGAATAGTCACCTCCTCTGTCTCGGAGTGCCGCTGAGGAAAGCTGCATGCGAGAGATTTGACTCTGCTCCTGTGTGACACAAACAGCTGCGGCTGGGTCCGAGGGCAGCTTAGGGCAAGAACACTGATTCCTTTCACAGTTGCTGAGTCACAGGTACAGTAGAATCCGGGTGTCAGTCAAAGCTGGAATGCAAACAAGAGAATCTAGAAGGAGAAACTGCCTTGAATGCGGCCTCTTAGGCCGAGGAGGCTTCACGTGGGCTCTGAGTGGTTACAGCTCAGGGCTGAATTGTTGGTTGGCTCAGGGTGTTACCCCAGCTGATGTAACCCACATACAGAAACAGCCCCTGGATTTCAGCACCTGTCTAAGGGTCAGTGTGGTTTCTGCAGTGGGGCTTTTTGTTGCTGACAAATCACAGTGAAAAATGCTGATGATGATGGGATGCAAACTGTTGGGCTCAGCAGCTGCAGCCAGCTGGGAAGCTTAGACAGGTGCTGAAATCCAGGGGCTGTTTCTGTACCCTCCAAGGGGCTCAGACGAGACTTCTGGCGGCAGCTATTTTCCTCAAACTTTCATTATAGTCTGCCTTTCTCAAGATGCACAAAAGGGGGGAAAGCCCAGTATTGATGGACAGCATTAAGACAACCAGTGAACGATGCAGTAGGACTAGTATTGCAGAATTAGAAACCATGTGGACAGTGAACTTTCTAAAGCAAAGATTCAGGTGGTCAGCCGTGTTGGTCGGAAGCAGTAGAGCAAATTCAGAGTCCCGTGGCACCTTTAAGACCAACAAAGGTTTATTCAAGGTATGAGCTTTCGTGTGCAAGGCACACTTTTCCAAACACATTGGAATGGTAGGTGAGGTTCAGTTTTATAGACAGGGACTTCCCTGTTCAAACTTATAGATGGGGACTTCCCTCACCTACCATTCCAATGTATTTGAAAAACTGTGCCTTGCACATGAAAGCTCATACCTGGAATAAACCTTTGTTGGTCTTAAACGTGCCACTGGACTCTAAATTTGTTCTGTCTAAAGCAAAGTATACTATAAGCAGTGCAGATGGTGGATTACAAGACAATGCAGCAAACACAGGTGATGCCAACAGTTATCATGGGCATGGATTACCATTTTATTACAATGGTGCCCTCCGGGGCTGTTCCGCTCTACTGCCATTCTAATCTCTATTTATAAATGCCATCTTGAACATTATTGTGTTGCACAGCCTGCTTAGAAGGGAACACCTCTGTTTAGGATTGCACTATTAGTAGTATGTTTTCAGGGGTTAGAGCCCACTTTGGCAGCCACAGTTCTGACTGGATTTGTGTTCTGCAGACAAATGCAACACACCAACTGCTTTTTGGGGGTGCATCTTCTTGGCCAAATAAAGGAGGTTTGAGCTTTCAACTGTATCCCCCAGGCTACATTTCAGATTATTATTAGCTGAGTGCCATTCACTTCACTTTGCCAAAGAGAAGGCTATTCAGTAGAATTTCAAATTTGGAAGGGGCCATACAGGCCATATAGTCTTTTGCTGCTGCATCACACTGACTGTTCATATTTAGGTTACAGGCCACCCATACCCCCAAGATCTTGTTCATGCTCATTGCTACCCAGAAGTGTATCCACCATCCAGTATGTGTGCTTCTTATTTTTGTTAGCTGGGTGTAGAACTCTTCACTTATCCTTGTTGAATTGCATCTTGTTCATATCTGCCCACTTTTCCAGGGTATTCAGATCTCATTGAATTCGATCTGTATCTTCTGGGGTGTTTGCTACTCGTCCCAGTTTGGTGCCATCTGCAACTTTAATTAATAGTCCCTCCGCCCCCTCTTCCAGATCATTTACAAAAATATTGAAAAGTACCAGGCCCAGAACCGAGCACTGGATGCCTCCTTCCAATCAGACAAAATACCATTTATAACTACTCTTTGGGTACAGTTCTCCAACCAGTTTCCTATACACCTAACTTTTCTATAATCCAGTCCACAGTCCTCCAGTTTACTCATCAGAACATCATGGGGAACCCTTTCAAAATCTTTACTGAATCCAGGTAAACAATGTCAGTAGTGTTCCCACGATCCAGTAAGCTTGTCACTTGATCAAAGAAGGAAAGAAGGTTGGTCTGGCAGGACCTGTTAGGGGACAAATCCATGCTGACTTCCCTGGATCACCAAGTTGACATTCAGATGCTCACAGACTGACCCCTTTAAAATTTACTCCAGTATCTTCCCTGGGACAGAGGTCAGACTGCCTAGCTTGCAGTTTCCTGGGCCACCTTTCCTCCATTTTTTGAAGACTGGGATAACATTTGCCCTCCTCCAGTCTCGTGGCACATCTCCCATCCTCCAAGAGGTCTTGAAGATGATGGACAAAGGCTCTGCAAGCTCTCTAGAAAATTCTTTGAGCACCATCTGGCCTGGGGGATTTGTACTCCATCCAATGAAGCCAGGTGCCTCTCAGCAATCTCTCTTAAGCCTGTTCTCTTCTTCAGGGAAGAAACTCAGGCAAAATAAGCACTGAGCCTTTCTGCTTTCTCTCTGTCCTCTGTCAGAGTTTCTCCATTTTTGCCCAACAGTGGGCCCATCACCTCTGCATTTGCTCCTCACATATCCGAAAAAGGTTTTCTTGTTATAGTGAGCCTCCTTGGCCAGCCTCAGCTCACTCTGAGCTTTGGCCTCTCTGACATAAAGTGCCCAGCAACACTCCGATGCCCTTCATTAGAGCAATGTCCTTCCCTCCATTTTGTGAACATTTCTTTTTTCTTTCTTAGCTCATCACAGAGTTCTCTGTTCATCCACATTGGCTTCTTGGACTTCTTACAATGTTTTTGTCTTGCTACAATAGTAATGGCTTGAGCTTGCAAAAGCTCTTGTTTTTGGAGAGCCCACCCTTCACTTGCTCCTTTGCCTTCCTGCAATCTTGTCCACGGAATGAGGACATCATGCCTCTGAGTTCATTAAAGTCTGCCCTACTAAAATCCAACATACACATCTGGCTATAAACTTCCTTGGCCCTCCAAGGCAAAAGGAAATCTGGCAGGACATGGTCATTTTGCTCTAAGGTCCCCATCAGCGTCACCCCATCTATCAACTCTTGCTTGTTAGTTAATATTAGTCGAGTATGGCCAAGCTTCTCATAGCTTCCTCCACCAGTTGAAAAAGGAAGTTGTCAGCCAGGCAGATCAGGAAGTTGTGTGACTCTGGATGCTTAGCAGAGCTGGTCTCCCAGCACACATCAGGGAAGTTGAAGTTGCCCATAACTACAAGGATGCACTGTAGTTGCTTGGATACACTGTCAAGCTGCTCAAGGAGGGCAGCATCCACCTCCTCACCCTGGTAAGGCAGTCTGTAGCAGACTCCAATCATAATACTATTTGTGCTTCCTTCCCTAATCCTCACCCAGATACTTTCCACTGGGCTGTCACCCACCTCGGACAGTATTTCCTAACAAGCAAGCCCTCTCCTCACATACAGCGCCACTCCACCTCTTCTTCAACCCTTTCTGTTTTTCTTGAATAATTCATATCCATCCACTACTACATTCCAGTCATGAGAATCATCCCACCACAAGTCTCTGTAATGCCTACTAAATCGTATCCCTCTGTCTGCATTAGAAGCCCAAGTTGTCCCTTCTAATTGACCAAGCTTTGGGCATTGGTACATAGGCACCTGTGGCTCCATTCGGCCTGCCTTCCCTTATGGTGTCAGTTTAAAGCCCTCCTGATGAATCTCTCCAGGTTTCTGCCAAACATATTCTTCCCTGACTTTGACAGGTGAAGTCCATTGCATGCTAGTAAGCCATCTTCTAGAAAACCGAGCCTGTGGTCCCAGAATCCAAATCGCTCCTGTCAGAACCACCAGTGCAGCCAGTGGTTCACCTTCATTATCTTCTGTTCCCACTGCATTCCTCTTCCTCTGACAGGAAGGATTGAAGAGAGCCTGTGCCCCATCCCCTTCAGCTGCCTCCTGACAATGTCATAGTCAGTCTTAATGCATGTGATGATGTTCACACAACCATGTTGTTGGTTCCCACGTGGACCATCACAGATGGGTAATCATCTGTAGCTTTGGTCAGTTTTGGCATCTGGTCTGCAATATCTCTGATCTTTTTTCCTGGAGAAGTAGTTCCAAAGAGGCATAACCCAGTATTAAAAGAGACCTTCTTCTGCTAATGGAGAACAGGAAGCTGTCCAGCTGCAGTTTAGGAGATCAGGAGAGGCAGGGGATACTTCTTATAGAGGGAAGCCTTGTTAATGGTGGATCTGAGGTATTAGAGAGGGCACAGATAATTGCATCAACAAGGGGATCAGATCAATGAAAGAAGAGGGGAGACTAGATGGGAATTTGGGAAGCAAGGAAGCATGTTAGAGAATAAGATGAATATGACCAAGCATTTTAATCTCTGCCTTATTTTCTCACTTTCCCGCCAGCTGCTTGCATGGGGGGGTGGGATTGTCTATCCATTTGTAGTTCCTGTGACTTGCCCTGGACCAGGGGTCATTTCGGGGGGGAACGCGGGGGATCGCGAAATGGATGTGGCCTATAGGTCCTATTCCGTATACATAAAGAAGAAGAATCTGTCTGGGGAAATAGTAATGAGATTCTCGAAGAGGCACGTGAGGGATTCTATCCTGAGAGCGACAGCAGGGACACCCTTGAAAATTGGGGACAGTACCAGAGGTCATTTCGGGGGGGGAACACGGGGAAACGCAGTTCCCCCGGGTGAGGTGCAGGGGGCGGGGCACCTGATGAAGCCCCGCCCCCTGCTTCCGGCCGCCCTGCTTCCGGCCCTCATTTAGCCAGGAGGAGGCAGGAGAAGAGGGAGGGTAAGTTGCTTCCTCCCCGCCTCTCCCCACCCCTGCCTGCCTGGGGCCAGGGAGGGCCTTGGCGGGACTTCCTCGCACTCCCGCCGGCCTTGCAGGTCCACCGCCGGGCCTTGTGATGTCAGGGGGTGTGGCATATGCTAATGAGTTATGCTAATGAGTTCCCCTAACTCTTTTTCTACTAATTGACCCCTGCCCTGGACCCTTCAGATTGACTACAAGAACAGATACATATAGTAAGTGGTAGCAAGGCCAGAGAGTCACAAGCAAGCCCAGCACTTACCTACATTCTGCCATCGCCCCCCAGCTTGTAGTGCAACCTCTTGTGGCCACCTTCTCAGCACAGAAAGCAACGCTTTCTTCAGCCAGCATTGTCAACTTGTGCTCTATGGGTTGGTCACCCTCATGTTTCCCACCACTGTCAAAGCCCTAGCCATGAATTTTCAAATTCTGTACCTTCATTGCCCAAATTATGTAAACTGGGTAAGTTTCTGTTGTAACTTGCAGTACAGATTCTGTCTGCAGACTTTGAGTTCTTTGTTCCAGGATTCTGGGTTTGGCAGTGCAAGCATAACAATGCAATCCTAAGGACACTTCCCTGGGAGTAAGTCTGCTTTGGAACGGCTCTCTAAATGTCTTAAGAGCATGCTTACTTATTAAAAAAAGAGGGCAGTAAAACATTTGGCCAAAGTCTTATATTCTGAAACTTCATGGTTACTCAGTTTTACTGGGATTATTTCCTAGTTAGTGACACATGGTTGGAAAATTAAGCTTTCAGTGCAAGAGTCTTCCAGATATTAACATAATCCAGGGAAACCTTGCTCTGCTTAAAAAAAACAACCATAGTGGAACGAGAGGTTGTATCAAACCTAGGGCAGAATCACAAATCACAGTAAAAGACAGATCTGTGTCAAGTTTCCCCGATTCCCCACTGTGATGTCTATTTCAACTTGGCATGTATTCTGATGTCATTAAGCTAAGTGTTTTCCCACTCCACCAGTGGCAACCAGTACTATGGAGCAAGAATGTGGAAATACACAGCTTAATGACATCAGAATCCTGAAGTACAATCAGCTGGGCATTATGAAGCAGAAAAGCGGAACTGGACTCAGGGCTGCCATTTTTGGCAGCAGCACCACATTCTTTGTACATATAGCTCTACTTCTCATTTCCAGTTCTTGTAGCAGGGTGCCAAAAATGGACACAAGAATGATGGAACAGAGGAAATGGAAATTGCCAAAGGCCATTAGGATGGGAAAGGTGATGTTCTCATTTGATCTTTCCTAACAGAATCTAACCAGGGACTGGAGATCAGCATCCACTGCCCATGCAATACCTTCCAGTCGAATGGTGACATCTTGGAGACCCTGCCTGAAGTGCTGGAGATCAAGTTCAAAGGTGACAAATGGGAGACTGGAGGGGAAAGCAAAAGGAGTCATTAAGTGAAAATAATCATTATACCATCCACATTTTTAAAAACCCTCTTGGTTCCAAGTTGTATTGTGGTTGGTGACTATGCATCTGTGTGAACATGAGGATAGTATGTTTTTTTACATCAGAGATGGAGCAGGTAGACGAAGAATGCGGGTGAACACGTGTACAGTAGATACTTAAAGAGGTTTAATAAACATTCCTCAGGGAACGCAAGAAACGGTCACTTTGTGGTAGTGTGGGGGAACTAGGATTCTCGTAACAACACCCTCACCAAACTACAATCCCCTAGATTCTTTGGGGAGAAGCCATGACAACAGGTACAAAACAGTTAAAACTTTGGAAGGTGGAGTCCAGCCCTGTGTGTATTGTGCAGAGGTGTGAATTATACAAGGCTGAGCAATTATTAACATTCAACACTCTCTCTCTCTCTGGAAAGCTTGGCTCTGATGAACGTTCTTGGTCTCACTCTGGTTTCCAGATTGCATGATGTGGGCACAGGGAAGCTGGGCAACCTGCCTGAGGTGGCACCGGCAGCCAAGGCTTGGCTAGGCTCAACATAAGCAGCTGCCTGGCTTTTGGCCCTGAGCTGCGGCCAACAGTACCCACAGCCTGGTATCTAGGAGATTCCTTCTGCCATGTGGTGCCAGTAATCTGACATCTCCTCTAAGCCATTCATTTTTTTCTCGCCCGTCTTGGGACTGAAACCAACAGCAAAAGGAACAGATTAATGGTCCCGCCACCAGTTTACAAATGATAAAACGAGTGACCCACAAGATTTCATTTCAGGCTGAGAGCAACCGAGTTTATCCTGGCACGGATGCCCAGTCCTCCCAGAGGAGCCTCACACTGGCCAAGCTGCTGGCATCTTTCCCAAACCGTTCTCCTGTTGCATCTTTTATGGATTCCAGAATTCTTTATTGCAGCAAACATAGGACTTCATGGCTTACCTTTCCTCCTCCCTCAGGCATTGACAGCGAGGATAGCCATGGGCGTGGGGACTTAGGGAGTCTGAAGAAGCAGAAGGACCTTCATAATCCCCACTTGATTTTGATGATGCTGCCCCCACATAGGCTTGGAAGTCCAGCCATAAGAAGCCAAAGGAAAAAACGAGCACTAGACACCAACTACTGCTTTCGGTAAGCCAGGAAACCCCCCTCTCTTTCCCCAGGCTGGGCATTGACTATCCCCACATTTGCTCTGCAGCAGCCCCTCCTCCACATCTCTCCCCCCCCTTTCTCTGCCATGTGACTGAAAATTATTTTGTCAGGCTTCAGCCACACAAAGGTGGGGTGGCTCTGGCCTGCACATTTTGTGACCCACCACAGTAAGCGCAGAGAAGATGGACTGCCTGTTGTGACCTGTGAGGTGCTTGGCAGCTTCTCTGTGGTTGCAGGTCCCAGGCAGGCAGCAGAAAGGAGCGTCTTATTGATTCCTTGGTACACTGCAGTCTGTGGCTCATAGGCTGCATTCAGCCGGGATCCCAAGTTGTGCATTTCCTTGTCACGTTCCCTTGGCACAGATTCCCATAGCTCTGAGGGCATGCGCAGTTCATACAATGGGGACATCATATCAGATGTGCAAAGCAGTGGGTGCATCGAAAGCCCCAGGAGTAAGATCTGTTCATACACCAGCATCAGGTTTGAACTGGGCCTCCATAGGAAAAGGTGTTGACATCCCTTAGAAAGCCAATTTTCCTGAGAAGCAACCTTGCCTGTAAACTAGTGGGTATGTCCCCCCCATGACCCAAAATGTCCCTTGGAGAGAAAATTTGCTGATCTTGCCAAGACCAGCAGAGGGTTTAATTCTCAGTCACAGTTGGATTGTGTTATCTTTTGTGCAGGGCTGGCTCACATGTAGTTTTCTCAGAGAGGCCCACGTAACAGGAACGTCTTTTTTAGTGTTATAATTACTATAATTATTATTTAGTGTTATAATTATTTAGTCAGCTTACAAGACTTAGCTTCTGGGTAGGTTTCCTAGGAAGTACGTGAACCTTTACGTCTCAAGTACTAAATTTTGTCTAGAAGCAAAGAGGTAACTAAGGAAGATGTCTTAAAATGGGCAGGATATATTCCCTATATCCTACCACAGTAAATAGTCAGGCTGCTACAGTTTGCACCGTTTGCAGTATCTGAACAATCTTCAGGGGCAGCCCTCATGTAAAGCACATTGCAGTAGTCTGAACAGGACGATATAGATGCCATGGCCAGATCTCCATTCTCCAAGAAAGACTGTAGCTGGTGTACCAAAATAAATTCGACATCATTAAGAACATAAGAACATAAGAGACGCCAATGTTGGATCAGGCCAAAGGCCCATCCAGTCCAACACTCTGTGTCACACAGTGGCCAGAAATACCAGTGCCATCAGGAGGTCCAGCAGTGGGGCCAGGACATTAGAAGCCCTCCCACTGTTGACCCCCCCCCAGGCACCAAGAAGACAGAGCATCACTTGCCCCAGAGCCCCTAGCTATACCTTGTGGCTAATAGCCACTGTTTCATTGTTTTAAAGAGAATGGGTCCACCTGTTGTGGACGGAGCAGGGTTTGCATTTACAGAGCATGTTAAGAGCTGGGTGGTGCTAATTTTATTTATTTATTCATTAAAAATTTATATCCCACCCTTCCCAAATGGGCTCAGGGTAGGAAACATCAAAGCATGTACCAATAACAGTAACAGTTAACACAATTAATCTAAAAACAGCTAAAAACAGAAAATGGCCCCAGTCTTGCTGTTTTCAAAGCAGGATGGTGTAGTCTGATCTAGCGCCATGATGATCCATGCTTGTGTAACCTCTGTGGCCCTCGAAGACAACCTGGAACCTTCAGCTGATTCAGAATTTTGCTACAGGCAGTGTACTAACACAGCTACTTCTCTGTAATCATAAAGCATCAGCATGTTTATTGTCAGGGTTAGCCAATGGGAAACTTGTTTTTTTTGGCTGTCAAGTTGTAGCCGACTTACGGTGAGCCCGTAGAGTTTTCAAAGCAAGAAACGTCCAGAGGTGGTTTGCCATTGCCTGCCTCTGCATAGCAACCCTGGACTTCCTTGGTGGTCTGCCATTCAAGTATTAACCAGGGCTGACCCTGCATAGCTTCCACAACCTGATGAGATCAGGGTAGCCTGGAAACTATTTAGCTTACTTTAAAACAGCTACATTGGCTGCCAGTTTGTTTCAAGTCCAAGGTGCTGATTATGACCTTTTAAAACCTCTTAGGGCCTGAGAGCTAACCTTTCTAAAAACCTGTCTCTCTCCACATGTCCCCCCATGCATCAGCTACAGTCCTCAGGCTGCCACCTTCTGCCTGTTCCCCCAGTGAAGGTAGCCTGGCTGGCATCAACGAGAGTCCATGCCTTTTCTACTGTAGCTTCAGCCTTGTGGATTGAGCTCCCTGAGGGGGTGCCACCGCTAGAAATCTTCAGATGGTTCTGCAAGGCCGTTTTATTTGCCAAGGCTTTTGATGGGGTATGGACTGCAGACATGGGAAGGCGGTATTTGGAGCTTTATTTTGTATTTTCTGTGCCAGTCTTTGTAAGCAGCCTTGAGCCACAAGGGAAGGAGGATTTTATATATATTAAAATAAATGTGTTCGAGAGAAGAACTGAGCTGCCATATATAAGCCCCATGCTAACAGCATTTTAGACCTGTCCTTTTAGAAGGGGGGGGGGGGCAGCTTTGTCCAGAATCCTTTGTTAGCTGTATTGTAGGCTTCCTCTTCATGTCTTAAAAGAAACTGCCCTGGGTTGTCTGGCACTTTGTCTTCTCTTTTCCACATATGCCAAATGGGATACTTAATACTGACAGGTCTTGCAGGTATTGGCTGGCTTACCCCTGGGACTTGGGAATTCTGGAGGCCTTGCAAGGCAGTGACACAATCCAGGGTCTTCTGGATGGGCTTCTTGTCCCACAGGAGCTCAGTCACACACTTTTTAGCGGAGGCATCCAGCTTCTCTAGTGTGACATGAATACTCCCCAAAGAGGATCTTGTCTTCATTTTACAATATGCCCCTTTTTGCTGCAGGAACCTGGAAGAGAACTGCTGTGTGCGCCGTCTCTACATCGACTTCCGGCAAGACCTGGGCTGGAAATGGGTTCATGAGCCCAAGGGGTACTTTGCCAACTTTTGTTCTGGACCATGCCCATACCTCCGCAGTGCAGACACAACTCACAGCACGGTAGAGCAATCCTTGATATTGGCATGATGCAGGAACCTAGGAGGTTGGGGGCAGGGCATTGCCCATTTCACAAACTCATAAAATGGATTTTAGCTTCTACATGCATGAGGTGTAACCCCAGTGGGTGGCTACCTCCTAGAAAGCCTCTGATAATTTTGATCTCATGCTACTATCAGACCTGCGTTGTCCTGACTGACACTTAAAATTGTAATGTCAGTTTCCTGAAAAAGAAGAATCCCTTCCAACGGGAGCACTCAACTCAAAGTCATTTTGAGAAAATACCCTCTCCCAGTCTGTACATTATTAACTTATTTATAGGACAAACCCGTACACACATTACAGTGGCAATGCATACAATACAGTGTACAGTATATGCATGATTTTTCTTTCTGTGTGTGCTGAGTGATCTTTATGTGGCATTCAGTATGCATAATTTAAACCTCATATTTGTTCAGGTATTGCTCCCCAGTTTGAAAGTGAATGTGTGTTGGCTTTTTCTTACAAGCAGATGTACAATCCCCCCCCTTTCCAGCCTTCACATCTTTTGACTGGCATAGCGAAGGGGAAGGGGTGGAATTCATGAGACGTTGTAGCAATGAGACATGTAGAAGCAAGGAAGGGACAGGGAAGTGTGCAGAATGAAGAGGCCTGGGCTCCTGACCAGTGGAACTCTTACACCGTAGCCCTTCCTGATTTCTGAGACTTTTGTGGGTGCCATATACTTCAAGCGTTGCTCCTTATCCACATGACCTGCAAATGTGTATGGGCTCAGGATTCTGGTGGTGTTGCACATCTGCTTCACAGTCGCACAGCAGACTGCACACCCCATTGTGCAGTTAATCCCTCACTGCTTCAAGTCCTGTACAGCATTTTAATTGGATGTGGAGTTGAATAGGCATCCTTTTCTGGACTTGTGACATTGGCCTGTAGTTGCTGTGCAATGCATTCTTAAGGAAGAGGAGACCCCAGCCCTTCTGCACCTATCGTTCAGCAGGTCTTCATGCAGAAGGGAGAAAATCCACAGGAAAACTTCCAGTGGAAACAAGCTAGATGTTTTTCCTTATGGCTATTTTTCTTTTGGCAGCAGCTGTATAACCTCACAGGTATACCACTGTGGTTATTATTGCTTGTCCTAAGTATTTATGTAGGCAACCATCAGGACACTTATTAGGATTGGCAATAACTGCTCCAGCACATAGGAAAGAATTTACATTATGGCAGGTAACCACCTGCCTTTGGTGGAAGGCATCCCCATTAACAGTGTAACTTTCATATTGATCTGGCAGAGATTATTGTGTAATTACAAGAAGTATCTGTGAAAGCAAAGAAGCTAACTGTATGAGAACAAAAGCTGAGTCTAGGAGCTCCTTAAGGACCCACAAAATTTTATGGGGTATAAACATTTGTGAGTCAAGGCTCATTCTGTCAGGATGTTTTACGCTGGAAAGTTCTGGTGTTCTTTAAGGTGCTACTGGACTTGAATTTTGTTCTACCACTAAAGACTAACACAGCTACCCTCCTGAAATTTACCATGTATGAATTACTCAGTGGTGAAGAAAACATGCCACTGTTGTTTCTTAACCGTCTGTGACATTTAGTTGCACATAATGAGCTATCTATGTGAGTACAAGTGACTCATTCTATTATAGAATAGGATCCAGTGTGTGTAAAGAAGCAGCCCTCTTCTGTCCCAGATGTGCAAATCCCAGCAGCAGAAATTGGCAAATCCTCCTAGTTCTGTTGCATCATTGTTTCGCAGTGTTCTGTTCTCCTGGCCTTCCATTCTTCTCTTTAAAATATTCGCATTTAGAATAAGTCAGTGTGGTACAGTGGGCTTCCTGGTGGGCTTGCTGAGGCTTCCTTTCCCCCCTCCCCACTCTTGGTGGCTCGGCCAGAGCAGTTCCTGGAGGGCTTGTGGAGGCTTCCTTTTCCCACTCTTGGTGGCTCACCTGGAGCTGCTTGAGGTGGGCTTGTCAAGGCTCCCTCCCACTCTCAGGCCCAGTTCGACTCATGGTTTGTGCTGCTGCTGGTGGCATGCTCCTGGGCTCCACCACAGCCAGGTCCAGTGAGGCTCCCATCTTCACCACCACCACTGAACCCAGCATGGCTCGCCTGTACCGCCAAGGTCAGTACACTTGTGCAGAGAATGCTACTTTTACTTTTGGGGGAATTATTCCCCCCTCCTATAGTTTTTTTTTTAAAGATTTAAGATTTTTCTGCTGGGGGTGCCCCAGTGTGCAGAAAAATCTCTTTACCCTCCATGTGCCCCCTATCTGCGGAAATAAGTATCTGCACATAGGGGGCACAGTTGGGAATTATATATATAGATCATTGAGTAGATGGATCAAATTCAGTGGAGACGTTCTGTGGCAGAGAATTTCAGGAGCATGTAGCAGAGTGCTGAACATATAAAGGTAGCCAGAGAGGATATAAAAAGAAGGCAGGGTTCTGAAGAGTCTCCAATACTGAAAGACATAGAAGATGTTCTCTCTGGCTGTAACAAGGCCAAGAGACTCAAAAGATCGGTGAGGGTTGGAAATTCAGGTGTAAATGAAAGATGATTAATGCTCCAAGAAGGAACACATTAAATGGCACCAAATCTCCCCCCTCCCCCAAAATCTCAGAGCTCATGGAAAGGGCAAGACTTTGTCACAGCGAAAAGACATCTTGTGAGCTTCCTTGATACAGTTCAGCAAACACCCCACTACTTACACTGAGAGTTTCCCAGAAACAGAACTTTGATAACCCTGTTGTGAGCCGTCCTGAGTCCAGGGGTTGGAGAAGGGAGTAAGTATATTTAAAGACACAGATTTTTTTTAAAAAAGGAAGAAAAAGAAACAGATGGGTGAGGAACTAGGAGAAAAGGAACAGATTTCTCAACTGAAACAGATGGCAAGTAGAAAGCTCTTCACAAGGAAGATGGATACGAAGCCTAACCAGTGTATCTCTGGGAAGCTGCAAAAAAAATTGAGGAGTAACTAGAGCTAACCATTGTGGAGTCCACAGCCTTGGCATGCAAGACTTCTGAGGTCTCGAGGGCAAGAAGTTGGGCATTAAAGTTGGGTCATGATAAGGCAACCTTTTGTTACAATATATGCTACAGATACAGTGATGATGAGAGTTTTGACTCATCATCCATTCTTATTAAAGCTAGTGGGATCTTTTTGAACAGACGAGAGCAGATTAAGATTCTTTACTCTCTGAACTACCACCGGCACCAACCCCTTCTGTGAAATGCAGCAGCCTCCAGGGAGGAACACATTAAAAACACAAAGATGTTTGCAAGGCGGTTCAGGTGGAGGCCGAATTAATCAGAGCTCCTCTCTAGCAAGCTGTTTCTCCCTCCCTCTCTCTTGTAAAAATAGTATGTGAGATGGAGCAGTGAGAGACCTCACGGGCTTTGTAGAGGATTCAAAAAGCTGGGAAGGGAATGTAGATATTTGAGAGGGACTGGATTGAATCCAGCATGATCTGGAGACGCTGGCCAAAGCGAGCTGATTTTTTTCAGCTGTTTTTCTTGAAGCTTAAACAGGGTCACAGGGTGGTTACACCCAGGTTTTTGTGTGTGCGTTTCAAGAGCAGAACATGCAAGAGAACTGGTTGTGCCAGGGCAGAACTGCGGTTTGGATGCTTTGCAGTAGTCCTAGTGGTTGCTTCTAATGGGCCTTGCACCTCTGCTGCAACAAAAATTGAATATAAAATGTTGGGCTGTGGTAGAGACATAGGTATGGCATGTTAGAACTGTCGATTAAGTTGTACAGTTTTGGATCACTTGCATGTTTTTCTAGCTGACAGCAGCCCTTTTTGGTCTGTAGCCCATGGCCCTCACTTACTTCATGTTTACTTTTCCCCCAGGTGCTTGGCCTGTACAATACATTGAATCCAGAAGCATCTGCCTCCCCCTGCTGTGTGCCCCAGGATCTGGAGCCTCTCACCATCTTGTATTATGTTGGAAGGACACCTAAAGTGGAGCAGCTGTCCAATATGGTGGTGAAATCCTGCAAGTGTAGTTGAAAGGGAGTCAAGCACCATCAGTAGCTGAGGAACTGCGATGATTCATCCTCTGCTCACTGAGCAAAACAAAATGACGCAGAACTCGTGTTGGGAGGGCCCCTGTGGTCTGGTCCTCTCAGCCTGCAATCCAGGACAAATGACCCATTTTTATGGCAGGGTTGTTGTTTTTTTTAAATTAACACCTCTCTGCCTTACTGGCTTTGTCACCTTTACTCTGGGAGTTTCTTTGGCAACATGGATGCTTAAGGAAGCGAACACATGTACAAGCTAGATGTATAGTGGTGCAAATATCAACCTGATGAGAACTACATTCAAGGAGGCAAGCGTGAATGGGGCTATGGACAGAGAACAGGGGAAAGGAGACTTTTTTGCCCTACCACTAGCTTTCCTGGGGAGGCCAGCTTTTTTCTACAGAGTGAGGATTTCCTTTTGAAGGAACAGCCCAATATTTTCTTAAGAGACCAGACTGATGTCCATCTCAAAAGGAGTCACTGGTTGCTTTAGAACTGGGATCCAGCTTTAGAAGGTTTGTACCATTCTGCAGAGTGTGGGTTCAGCAGTCTGCTGCAGAAAATGAACAGTCTGGAGCAGCTGAAATGGCAGAAATGTACAATTTTTTCCTCCTCGTGAAGCTCCTGCTACATGACTTCTGGAGTTGGTGAGCAGCCTTGCTCCTGTGCACAACCCATTACTTCAACAATAATCTTCAAAGAATCCTGTATTTGCTGTGGTGGTTGAAGTATTATAAGGAAATCTGCACATCTCTTGCACAAGAACCTGGCCCAGGCTACACCTGCCATGGTTTTATTAAAAGTATTAATCTCAAATATTGTAAAAAAAAATAAATATTTTTTGGAAATTGGAATTTTCTATTCAATTATATTGTTTGGTTAGGGAAAATGTGGATGAGTGAGCATTTGAGAGATCATGCTCAGCTGTGGAGTAACCAAAGGGTTAGTCAAAATTGAGTCACACGTGGGAGCCTGTTTGTATAATTTATTTTGACAGGTTTATACTTAGGACAAAGCAGCTGATTAATCAAGAAGCTTGGATGAACCTGTGTTCAGCTAAGCATGGCCACTTACCTCAACATTAGTTGGTGATTTGGGCTCATGGCGATTTTTCCCTTCTCAGAGCCCTTTCTGAAGGACTTTACAGGACTTCTTTCATCCATGAGATGAAAGCATTTACTTCAGTCACATTCTGACATTCCAGGGTAAGTGTGAGAACCCTTCTTTGAAGCTGTTTTAGATCAAGTCAGACCATTGGTCCATCTATCCCAGTGCTTGCTACTGTGACTGGCAGCAGTTTTCTAAGGCTTGGGGCAAGGGCCTTTCCCCACAGTCCATGAAGATCAAGAGGGATAGAAATAAGTAACAGCAGCACTATCCAAGATCCATTTAATTGGCAAGGCAAGGGATTGAACCTGTGACCTCCATGTGCTCCTACTGGGGGGGGCTCTACTCCACCCATCCTGCTTCTCCATCTTTCTACTTTGCAGGCTTTACTAAGGAGCTGTGACTAGAATAACCCAGCCAAGAGTTTGCCTTTCTCTGACAGCATAGTATCTTGGCCTCTCTGGTCCTTTAAGACTTTCAGGTACAGAACCTGCAAGATATGAATTCAATAGGATGCTTAGTTAGAAGGAAAAGAATCATCTGGGATGGATTTCCCACGACAGCATCACCCAACAGTGTTTTCCCTCCTATGCAATTCTGAAAGATACAAGAGAGAGCTGGGGATTGGGCTTAGCAAACATACGCCCACTTGTCTCTCTGGCACATAGTACTCCAGCGCTTCTTACCCCCCCTTTTTTGGCCAGCCATTCATACCCCTCTAACATTCTTTTCCAGCCTCACTTGCTCTGTGGCTAGTTCTTTTGACACCTCTATTCACCTACTACCTACCATTTCCTTTGTGTTCTCTGTGGGTCAACTTTGGTTTCTCCAAGCACATAAGAGTCCTGGTGGATCAGTCCAATGGTCCATCTAGTCCATCATTGTGTCTCACACAGTGGCCAAACAGTTACCCTGGATGGCCAACAACAGGGCATAGAAGCCAAGGCCTTCCCCTGACGTTGCCTCCTGGCTCTGGGATTCAGAGGTTTAATGCCTCTGGATACGGATGTTTCCCTCAGGCATCATGGCTAGTAGCCATTGATAGACTTATCCTCCATGAATGTATCTAATCCACTTTTAAAGCTGTTTATTCCTGTGGCCATCACTACATCCTCTGGCAGCGAATTCCACATTTTAATCACTGTGTAAGCTGGTATTTCCTTTTGTCCATTCTGATCCTATCAGCTTCATTGTATGCCCTTGAGTTCTAATATTTTGGGAGAGGGAGCAGAAATTATCTTTGTCAAACTCTCTATCCCATGCATAATTTTATAAACCTCTATCATTTTCCCCCTTAGCCCACTCTTTTCTAAACGGAAAAGTCCCAGCCTCTTCAGCCTTTCCTCATAGGGAAGGTGCTCCAACTCTAACCATCTTGGTTGCCCTCCTCTGTACTTTTTCCAGCTCTGCGATGTCCTTTTTGAGATACGGGGACCAGAACTGTACACAGTATTCCAAATGAGGCTGCATATCAACCGTTTTATTCTCAATCCCTTTCCTAATAATCCCTAACACAGAGTGTGTCTTTTTCACTGCTGCAGTTGAGCTATCCACTATAACCAGTGTTCCCTCTAAGCTGAGGTGTAAGTTAGTGTGAGCTAGCTCACAGGTTTTTAGCCTCTGGCTCAGTTTTGTCTTAACTCAGGACAGCTCCAGAGCACACTAATTTATGCAGTTGCCAAAATGCTTGCTCACAACTTTAATGCCAGTCGCTCACAAAGTAGAATTTTTGCTCACAAGACTCCACAGGTTAGAGGGAGCACCCTGTTTGTGGAAATCCTCTTGGAGCGCTTCACAGTCAACCTTGGTTTTCACCATCCTGAATAATTTGGTGTCATCTGCAAACGTGGCCACTACACTATTCACCCCTAGTTCCAGATGACTGATAAATAAATTAAACAAGTGGGGACCCGCAAGAAACTTGAGGAGACAGTGAATCCCATTCCCCACTCCTCTTCCTCTATCAGTCCCCCCTTTTCCCTTATCTACCTACCCCCATCTCTTTTGCCCCTCCCCGTTTTCTCCATCAGTCTACCCAACCCTTGTTGCTCTCCGTACCTACCACCCACACCTGGTACTTCACTAACCCTCACTTTTGCAGCTCTCCCCAACTACTCCCACCACCCTTAGCACTCCACTCACCCCCATCCTTGCTGCTCTCCCACCTACCCCTCCCCCGGCACTCCATTCACCCACCATTCTTGCTGATCTCCCTATCCACCCCCACCCTTGGCATTCACTCACCCAAAACCCTTGCTCTCTTCTCTCCTACCCCCCATCATTGATTTTCATTCCCCCCCAACCCTTGCTCTCTTCCCCCCTACCCCCCCCCCCGAAACGCATACTGCTTTTATGTGACTTGTGCTGGTCTTTGACCGTATCAATAAACCGCAACTGAAAAAACCCTGAAACCCTTGGCACTCCACTATCCCCCCCACCCTTGACATTCACTCACCCCCCAGCCTTGGCTCTCCACTACCCCCACTCTTCACATTCATTCACCCCTACCCTTGCTCTCTTCCCACCAAGAGGGGCTAGCAAGACTCATGAGGGGGAGGTAATCACTGTCCCCACCTTGATTACCATCACTGCTGATATCCTTGGGGGGCTCGCCGGGTGCCCCCCATCAGCAACAGCCTGCCAAAACTCCTCCCCTTCACCGCTAGGACTACCGAGGCTTCTTCCCTCCCCCCCACCAGTGTTGATGGCTCCCAGCTGCCAGGCCCACCATGCCTTCTCCCCCCCAACTCACCTTCAACAACAGGAAGTCCTGCGTGGTTCCCAGGTCCCAGGCCCACCGAGCGTTCCTCCAACCATCAAGGGCAGTGTGCCCTGTGCAGCTCCCAACCGCAGGTCCCTATAACGCTCTCCCACCTGGCAGAGGACCCTGGGAACCACTTCAGGCCCTCCACCCACCCTATGCCTGGCAACGACAGTCCCTGGGAGCCGCTCTGAGCCCAGAGCGGCTCCCACAGTACTCCACCATGGTGGCCAATCTGGTGCGGCAACTGGTGTAATCTGCTGTGGCAGCCAAGACTGGAGCATCTCCTGGTGTCTGCTGGTGCCACAGCCAAGCAAGGAGCCACTCCAGGCATTCACCACCACCACCACAGGGCAAGGAGCCCGTCCCGGCATCCTCCACCATGGCGGCCAGACCCCAGCTCCAACTGTAAGTGCATTGTCTGTGCATGTGCAGACACATTTTTAAAAATTTCAGGACAATTTAATGCTCCCAATAGATTTGCTAAGATTAGGGATTTTTCTGCAAACCTAGGGAGCATCCCAAGTGTGCACAAAAACCTCTTTACCCTCCATGTGCCCCCTATCTGCGGAAATAAGTTGGGAATTAGATATATAGATAGTACCGGCCCCAATGCTGATCCTTGTGGGGCCCCACTGCTTACCTCCCTCCATTGCTTCCATTGTCACCCCTTGGCTGTTCACAGCATTCCTGTCTTTTCTTCCCCTTCTTGTCAATACCGCATGCTCCTTTGCCTTTAGACTTTGAGATATATTCCTCAGCCAACTCATTTAATTCCCTCTTGCATTCCCAACTCCATTGCCTCTCCTCCCCCCATACTCCTCCCTCAAACATCCGCCTATTCCATAAGTCCCCATTTCTCAGTAGCCATCCTGACCCTAGGCTGTCCACTTGTTCCCCCCAGTCTTCTGGGACCTTCCCCCACGAAGCTGTCCAGTCTTCCTGCTTCAGCCACATTGTTCTTCCTGTCCTGTGCGAAGAAGTCACCATTCATTTCAGCTCATAAAGCTCGATATTTCACAAATGTTCTAAGACTATGGGTCTTATGACACAATTTGGGCCCCCCCATTAGGGATAAAAGCAGGATACACATAAAAACATAATAAAAACGGGACTGGCAAATACGTCCAGCAAACAGCTCAGCTAAAAGGGAGCTAGAAGTTTCCTAGGATTACAAAATCTGATGATGACTGCCACAAAATCCCACAGCAGAATACAGTATTGATGTTATACTACATAGATACAATAGGAAACCCCCTCTCAAAACAAAACAATCTTTTAAAAAACACTCAA